AAAATACGATACCTATTTGCGACACGCACCGCATTCAAAAATACGATAAACACTGTGTTTAATTTTTATTATCCTCGATGCTAAATTGCGCTGAAATATCGCGAATCGCATCGCTCCCAGATCGGTAGGAGATCCGACATCTTTGACTCGTTCCTTGTCCGTGATTAACATTTCAATGCGATTAATTTTTGCTTTTTTTCCAATATGATATTTATCTAAAGAGCTACAACTACCTTACACAATTAAGTATCTACTCCCCTACAATCAACAGTAATACAAACCCACTTACATGCGATGAACCCAATATTACAACCAAAATTCTTAAACTCTTCACATCTCTTAATTTAAAAATCTAAATTTTCGTATATACTCCCATTTTCAAAAGTATCTGTAAAGACGTTAATAGCCTGTGACGCTGAATGCTTTAAAATATACTAACTATAACTAACTATTTGCTCAGTACTAGGTTGGGACAAGCTTTAAAACTAAAGAACGTGTGATTGGGTGTTTCCTTGTGAAGCTTAAATTCCACACTGAAAAATAAGTGATCGGTGATTCTTGAATTTGCTGTCAATTTTTTTTTTTTTTTTTTTTTTTTTTTTTTTTTTTTTTTTTTAATATTAAAGATATATACACCGCTTTGCGGCTCCTCGACTTATTTACAATTTTCCTCTCATTATTCGCCATTTTTCTCCCTCTTGCAATCATGGACATGTCTCCTTTTCGCATCTTGAGTTTGCATTTGTTTGGAATAAGAATCCGTGCGTAACTCGCTTTCGCCTAAATACGGACATATCCTTGTCCCCTCTCCCTATAAAGTTACTCTACTTTGGGAGTGCTATTTTTTGTAGTTTGATACTCCGGTGAAAATCGGGAGAGCATCGGAGCGTGGCAGAGCTTTGAGTGGCCGCGCGGGAGGCCGCCGCGCCGCGCGATCCGGCTGAGGAGTGCGGAGAGGCAGAAAGGGTTGAATACTATTTTTAGGAGTCGTTATAACTCTTACCTTAGTTGAGATGAACGGAGGCGTCTCGCCCAAGTTCACCGGGTTCGTCGCTCTCCCTCCGTCATTCGCCTCGTTCGCGGCGTCACAGACGGAGGACGCACGTCAAAGCTCCCCGGATCCCCGGATTTTTTAACATGAGAAAAGCCACAATGACGTCATCGACGGGATTTCCCCGTGACGTCATCGTGGCTTTTCCAACGACGTTTCCTGATTGGTTACTTTATGGGCCAATTAGAATGTACAGCAATAGACACACCAAAATTGCTTTATTTTTTTCTCTTAAGCCCTGGATAGACGATCAAATTCCCGAACCAATTCCGACCAAAGTAGCATTAAAGTGCGTCGGGAGTCATCAGTCTCATTTTAAAATGAAAACTTGGCAGAAATGTTTCCTGTGGCAGGAAATGATGAATGATGGCACTCCATTCTGATCTTACTTTGAACAAATAAGTACGGCCCGTCAAAATTTGATGGTAGATGGTGACCATCAGTCATCAGCATGTCTACTTTGATCGGAATTGGTTCGGAATTTGATCGTCTATCCAGGGCTTTATATTGCCAGAATCACCCGCTGAATTTGGCAGCTGAATATGGAAGTCAACAGTCATCGCTCAACAGCTGAAATTTCGCAAATTCGAGTTATTTTCATCCAGATATGTATGAAATCTATTTGAACAGTTCAGACAAATGTCCCAAATCCGACATTATCCGATGGTCGCTTAGAATCGTTGCTGAATTTTGCGCGACACGCGCAAAATTCAAGCATCGGGCCGATGACTTCCACATTCAAGCCACATTCAGCTCCCACATTCAGCGAGTGATTAAGGCAATAGGAAGATAAGATGACAAAATTGACCAATCACGGGAAATTTGACCGTAGCACAGTGGATTGAGTCAATTTCTAGAGGTCGGACATGAAATTTTTGGCTAAAACTGCAAATTTTGGTATTTGTCGTCACATTTCAAATTTTATAGGGTGCTTCTAAAAGAAAATTTTACGAGGAACCAATGGAATCACTTTTAGAACCTCAACGTTTTGTATGAACAGAGTTGAAGACGTTTCAAGTTTCCAAATTTTGTCCAACCTCTCCGATTGACTCGATCCACTGTGCGTCGTCTGCAAGAACTCAAAATCGAGTTATGAATACCATAAGATACAGGAATAAAACAGAAAGAAACATAGCCCGAGTATACGAAAAAATAGGGAGGTATTTAAAAAATGACTAAACAAGGCTTAAAAATTTAAAAACACTAAAAGGTAGGACGTTTTGAGCTGTTACCAGCTCATTTTTAGCTGCAAAAACACGTAAAATAAATAAAAAAAATTGAGTGGCAACCCGACCCCAGCCATTATCAAGTGGCCACTAGACCACGATACAGGAGCATTTTGAAAACATTTTGGGACCAACAACTCCCAAAAACATTGAGAAAAAAAGTTCAGGCATACGAACCGTGAGTGTTGTGTTTTACACTGTCATACTATGGAAGAATGTCGTATGAATATTCAAGCGTTGCCAAATTTCCTCCGATAAAATACGAATTTGGAGATAAATCTGTGAATTTTATAGCCCTCCAATTTTTCTGAGAGATATATTCGCAATCAGATCTGAGTTATCCGGAACTTTCAAGAGAGAATAGTCATTAGTCTCCTTAGAAATGAACATTTTATCGGAGGGAATCTAGTAATTCCAGGTATTTTTCAAGTTGAGTACTGATTTCTCAAGAAAAAGTTCAAGCTACAAGCTGCGGCAGGGAAAACAAACAGACAGGCTCGCGACAGCACTTGAGATGTTTTAAATTTTCCCCATTCAAGTGGTGTCAAAAATCAGGTGTTCTTTGCATTGAATCTCCTCGAATATCGATTAAACTTTTTATACTTCGTCAAAAAGGCCCAAATGTCAAAAATTCATTGGCTCTGTAGGTCTTGACAACTTTAGGAAAAGCAAACGAAGACTCAAGCGTATGTTGACAGGTATTTTCTAAAAATTAATGTTCAACCACAGTTACATTAGTGGCAGGGAAAACGTGGAGGATGTTTTATCCAAATAATACTCCGATGCGACAAAGGTAGAAAGAATCTTTCCCCGATTCAGAATCGTGAAGGCACGCAATGACGATTATCCCAAAATCAACGCTAACCACACACTGTGGACGTGGATTGATTAAGACGGTTTTTCGGATCAAAGACTATAAGATAGAGCTTTGTGAAAGGAATTCAATAGCCCATGCCTCTGATTAGTTAACCATTCGTCCCGCGCCGTGACTAGATTTCCAACCCCCCACCACCACCCCCGCCCTCCTCTTACAAGGCGATGGTGCCAAAAGGCCATGAAAGCGTGATCGCGCTTAGAATTAAGTAACATTCGACTAAAATTTCTGAATATTGACAACTTTGAGTGCGACTGGTCGGACATAAAACGGAAATTCATTAGTAAAGTTATCGATCAAACGCTCAAATCTTTTCCAAAGAATTCAAAGCAAGCTCAATGCCTCCAATATGTTAAAAAATACAACCTTTAATTTTCAGGTCCTGTAGATGTAGTGTTTTCTTATGACAGAATTCTTGTTACAGTCAACGGTCAACGTGATTTTCACCGAATAAAAGTACAAAATTTGAGTTTTTGACGGGGAAACACCCGCGTGCATATCTTTAAAGTAAGTTGCGACCAGCTTAGTCCATATCTGCGGTGCTAGAAAGTGTAGATCAGTCATTCTGTCATATTCTCTCCAATAATCTTCAGCTTATTAACCGAGGGCATTCGCGTGTTCAGTTCAAGTTGTTTCCGCTCACACACAAAATTCATCTTGCAGACACCTGCAAATTCGCCCCACTAAACATGGATGCGGGAAGTCAAGTTTGCAAGAGAGGATCGAGGAGGTGTATGAACGCGTAAAACAAAGCCGATAACCGTTCTGTATGTTTACGACCTGAAAACATGAAAATACGATAGGATAGGTTGGCCACAGTAAGGTTTACTTCACTCGAGCCGCAATGTGTTCTTACACACTGAATACTTGGATGTACCGTTTTCGCCATGTCAGCACTCACTGCGTCGCTCCTCTGACCTAAGGGCGTATCTCAATTTTCACGTGACTCCTGTTTTACATAAACATCCATGCTCTCTGGGGCTCATGTAAAAATCGAGGTACGCTCTTACGTCAGAGGAGCAACGACTATGGGTGCTCAGTTACGTTCTCATAGTGGCTCCTGCTCGTTTGACGAGACAGCCAGGTTCAATGTTGCCAATTTTTTGACTGTGTGGATGTTAACTGGTAGTACATTACGGCGCGGTTGAATCGAACCACGTGAAAAAATCAAATATTTTAAAAGTACCAGACTTGGTTAAAAGTTAAAAATTAAAGTCGCGCCCCTGATGATGATCCAACGGGTCGAAACGCGCGTCGGATAGTTTGCTAGTGAGTTTTTAAATTTTATCTTTCGCGTGAAAACATCGGCCAAATTATCACAAACGCCATGCGTCGTTTCAAAATTTCCGCTGCCATTTCATATTTTTATAGAGAAATCGTTGGTTGAATCGTTTTGAAAATTTCACTGAATTTGATCAGCAGCACAAAGAAAATTCGGTGAAATTTTCGGACAGCTTCGTTGAACGCGATTTCCCAGTGAAAAAATAAAATAGCGGCGGAAATTTCCAAACGTCGCATGGCGCTTGTGATACTTTGGCCGGACGAAAATCAATACGGATCCCGAAGCACAACATTAGTGCCGTTTCTGGCCAAAAACTCAGAAAAAAATTGCATACACTGGGGAAAAAAACACACTGGATCTAGAGTCCGGACTCTTAAAAACATCTACAAGAAAAAATACTCTTGATTCCTTTTGATTCAAGCAAAAAGTCCGACTGAATCGAGAGTATTTTTCTTGTCAATGTTTTTAAGAGTCTGGACTCTAGATCCAAAAGACTTGTTTTCCCGGTGGCAGTATACAATTTGAGGGATGGTTTAAATAACTTATTATTTCCTTGATCTGTTCCAGAAATGCATCCCGGCGTTCGAAAACGCGGCGTTCGGGCTGCCGGTGGAGGCGTCGAACACGTGCGGGGAGTACGGGCCGACAGAGTTCTGCGAGCAAACCGGGAGTCACGTGCAGCAGAAGAACAAGACGTGCGAGATCTGTCAGCCGCGGCAGTATGACCCCTACTACTTGACCGACTACTCGGAGAACAAGACGTGGTGGCAGTCCGAGACCATGTTCAAAGGGATACAATATCCCAACGAAGTCAACCTCACCCTTAAGTTGCGTGAGTATCCACATCAACCTCACCTTCTTCAGAAACATAGAGTACATGGAGTCACTCGTAATGTACATGGGAGAGCTGCAGCCTATTGTTGAAATTTTGTGTTTGTCGGGTGGGCATGGCTGAAATGGGTTAAATGGCAAAGCGTGATTGGTCGGCTATGTCTTATCCCTGCTTTGTCGTGCTTTGTCGATTGGAATGGACGACATACTGTCGGAAACTCAAGAGGTGCCTTTAGTTTGTCGTCCATTCCAATCGACAAAGCACGATAAAGCACGTTAAAGCAGCGATAAGACATAGCCGACCAATCACGCTTCGCCATGTAACCTATTCCAGTCATGTCCACCCGACAAACACAAAATTTCAACAATCAGGCTGCTGGCGCCATGTTCTGATCGACGAGTCCCGGGCCCTGTGCGCGCCGAGCTTTGGTCACTTTTTTGATACATGTTCGATCCAAGATGGCGTTGTGGAATACGTATTAATTCCTAACTTCCTCGTTTTCGTCGGATGGCCGGGTTCCCGTGTATCGAAAGCAATCGATAAAGTATCGAAAAAGTTACCCGGCGTGACACAGGAGTTTCGACATTCGCTACCTGGAAAATGCTTAATAGTGGCGCCAGCTCTCCTACTCACATTGCGGCTGTAGGTACTCTATGTTCAGAAATTAGATTGTTTCACAGATGATAGAAATTTTGTCTGCGGTGATGGACACTTTTAGCCTAATTTACGCGATCCAACTTTTCATCCGACAAAAGCGGAGGAACGATTGGACGGAGAGTTGAGCAAAAGAACATTGGATACGATTACGCCGCGTGATATCGTCGAACGAATTTTGGGTATCCCTGGCAACTTCTGGTTCGCGAAGGTACACCTTCAGCTGCTGTCAATCAGAGAATGTTGATTCGACATTCCGTTTAACTTTTCATGAAATTCTTGCGTCCCCGTGTCAACATCATCCGCCCCAACTTTTTATTCGACAAAAGCGGAAAAAAAGTTGAATCGTGTGAATTGGGCTTCAGTGGAGGAATATGCCGACGGAGAAACTGCAAAAACTCGTATCCGAAGACTACGCATACACGTGCACGTGCGCAAGGCGTCAGTAAAACAGAGTGGAAACCAAAATGAAACATTTTGAGGGCTCAGGACACGTTCCAGCGATTAAATTTACTTTTTCCTCGCCGGCGCGAAGCCGGCGTCCCGATGTATAGTCAATCCCAAAGTTTTATTGAGTGGTTAATTGCTATCGGATTGATTTACGCACAGGGAAATTAAGAGTGAGCGAAATGCCATAACATTAAACTAGAAAAGGACAGCACTATTTCATAGTCAGCTTTGCTTAAATGCGTGGATCCACGTAGAGTCTCAATACGTGACGCGCGGTTCTTGCATAGCATAGGTGCATTCGGGAAAGAGACGAAGATAGCAGAGTCTCGGAGGGGATATATGAAGTGATGTAAAAGGAGTTAATTTACCACGAACAAACGATGGGACCGATTAAGGGCCCCGACGTGAGCAAATGGTCTCTTTTATCTTAGAGGGTCCTCGCGGACAGCTAACGGGGGAGAGATTGGGGGAGGGGTGTTCCGAGGGGGCCTCGACGTAAAGCGTAATTGAAACGTCTCAGTCTCGTTCACCGAACTTGCCCATCTGCCTCATGCGGCTTTGAACTTTGATCTGTGGCCATTAAACTGTCAGGACTGTCTGTTTTTGAGGACTTGCATGCAGAGACGAAATATTTTACAAGCTTCGTGCAAACAATCCGAGGAATGCAAGTGTGAAGTTAACACAGTTTTTGACAATTGAACATTACAATCACTGAAAAAAAAAACTACGGCCGTGGGAGCCGCAATATACGGGCTATATACACTGAAAAAAATGAGTTAGCGTCAGATGACTAAAAATGGTTTCTATACACTAACTCAAATTGTGTGATTTGGACACACATGATTTTTGGTTTCTGTACACTAACCACTNCCATCTGCCTCATGCGGCTTTGAACTTTGATCTGTGGCCATTAAACTGTCAGGACTGTCTGTTTTTGAGGACTTGCATGCAGAGACGAAATATTTTACAAGCTTCGTGCAAACAATCCGAGGAATGCAAGTGTGAAGTTAACACAGTTTTTGACAATTGAACATTACAATCACTGAAAAAAAAAACTACGGCCGTGGGAGCCGCAATATACGGGCTATATAGACATACCGTCCGTTCCGGGCTCAAAGGCCGAAAATTCCGGCTGCTAGAGCCGTAGCTTCGGCCTCTGAACCCGGAGCAATCGAAGCTACACTTCCAGCAGCCGGAATTTTCGGCCTTTGAGCCCGGAACGGACGGTATGTCTATATAGCCGGTAATTGCGGCTCCCATGGCCGGAGTTTTTTTTTCAGTGATTGTTTATCGGCAGTAACATGATGACTGATGATGATGTCAGACGACTGATGAATTTTGTGTTGTGCGTTTTCTCGAGTCTCGTCCGATAGGATCCAGGGTCTTGGTCACTGAGCAGATTACTTAATGACTAATTTGATATAAAATTCCCGCATGAAAAAGTCTGAGATTTTAAGTTCAAACGACCCTAAAGTGATTAAATTTTACAAAAACCCAAGCTTCTCGGTTTTTGTTTGAAATAAATTCTAAGTTTATAAAGAAGCTCTTATGGTCACTCGAAGATGGGCTGCCCTTTGCTGAATGTAACTGGGTAATGCTTATTAATTATGGACCGCGTTAAGCAGAAGGGAACCAAACAACATTAACTTTGCCAAATTTAAGTGGGCAATGTAATTTTTTACATGAAAACGGTTGTGTAGATTTTTGTGCTTTCAGTGAACTTTCTGCATAGTGCGAAGCAAATTCCCTGAAATTTTCAAAATGTTGGCATACACGTTCTCTTGTGAAAAGTTAGATCAGTCAGTTGAATTTGGTAATAGCTGATGTGGCTTGGTTCCTTTCTGCTGAACACGGTCCAAATGAAGCTCTAATTGTGGGTGCTTTTTTTTTTTTGAACTTGGGTACTCGGATATTCCTCGTGAAATTTTACCGAAAGATAGTGTTCCAATAAACCATAATCCTAAGCCGTTTTGGGATTTTTCTAAAGTGTATTAATGTATGTAGAGATTTGATTAATTCCAGTGTAGAGACGCATAGGTGATAAAAATTCGGACGAAGCAATCTTTCCGTTATTTTTCTCCTGTTTCTAAAATCTTTTAGAGATTCAAAGCTTATCCTTCCATCCGATAATTTTGAGTAACAATCCGTCAAGATTCCTTGAAATTGAATATTTCACCGGAGGGAATTTTGCAGCGCTCGAATCATCTTGTGGTGATTATCTACGGCATAGCCGCATTGATAAACATTGGACCTCATCAACTATGATGGCAGATGAAAATGATGCGGTTTCTGCAAAGTGCTCCTACTGCCTATTAAAACTCCGAGGAGACAGGTACAGTGCGGCGGTACCGGCTCCGTAATATGACCAGCTTTTAAAGAAGCCATCCAACTATATCATCTCCTTTTTCAACCTCTATGACTTGCGCCTCCAGCGCGGATAGGTCAGGGCTCTGCATGTATCGGCGAGTGAATGAACGCAACAGGTATTGATATTAAAGAGCTTCCTGAAGCGATGGCAGGTCCAAAGCGGAGCTTCGAAGGGGGTGGCGTGCGGCCAGGAGGTAGATTGGAAATATTGACGGAGAGGTTGGGAGATATATTTCAAAGCATGTGGATGTTCGTGGGGACGTTTCCAGACAAAATTTAAAAAAGTAACCTCTCAAATTAAAATTTAAAAAAATCTTCTTCTTCCTCTTCTTCTTCTTCCTCCTCCTCTTCTTCTTCTAACGACTAGGACGTAGCCCTGTTTGTCATGCCATCAAGTATCGAGCACAAAACACTATTATACGTATTAAAAATCTAAGAAGCACTTCACTAAATTTACGAAAATCACATGCAAAAAAATTCATACCACGAAATTAAAATATGTGCTTTAATATGTGATACAAATGCACGGACTTTATCCCTTTCAGAGCAAAATATCCTCTAATCATTCGTCTATTGTAGCTGTGAAGTAGCAAAAAAGGCATAAACATACAATAAAAATAAATTGAGCAACATTTTTGCACATGACACAAAATAAATTGTATTTCATTGTGTTTTTGTATTTTCACAAAGCTGGCTCTCTTCCCCTGAGAATTGTTGATAATGAATGTGGTTTTATTAGATTTGACGAGTCCTTTATTTTTAGTGATTGTTAGATTTTTAATATTTATAAAGTTTTTTTTTCTCGCTACTCGATGGCCTGACAAACAGGGTTGTGCTCTAGTCGTTAGAGGAAGAAGAAGAGGATGTATTTGCAGAATCGTCGTATTTTGCACTCGTCCCTCTAAGGCGGGTAATTTTCCTCCTATGCTCTTCCTGCCTCTCTCCTAATTGTTTGACAATCTTGCAACAATGCTCAACACTCATGTGCTGATCGCTCGCGCCCGTTTTTTAGCACTGTCTGACTCATCAATAACGTCACTTTTCAAGGAAAAATATCAAAATCAGCACGATTCAATGTCATGGACAAGCTCGCAAACGGATCAATGTAACATTTAAAAGAAACGGAGACGATTTATTGCAATCAGTGTAAAGGAACAATTTCAATATACGTCTTTACTTTCACGTGATTTCACGGCCCAACTCGAAGGTTTGGGCTGAGTCGGGCAGCTAAGCTTAAACCGAATGGTTTTCCCACCTGCGAGCCAAAGCCACGGTCTGTCAAAACAGCGACAAGCAAGTTTGTGATACATAAATGACAAATTAAGAGTGAATGTCTGATCATGCACCCTTTAATTTATTATTTTCTTCACTCGTTACTTTCCTCTGCCGTATGACGACAACAGAAAACTAGAAAAACCACATTTAGTATATGTGACGGAAGATTTAAATGGAGATAAGCTCCATGCACGCTGGACTTGTCGATTTCCTCTGAAATTTTTGCAGTGGTGAATGCATAGCTGAAGTGCGCTTCAGCTAGAATTGTATTTAGCAAATGGGTGGTTTTTCTACCAGGATTAAAAATAAACGAGTGGCATGGAATATAACAAAACAATATGAACTATGCAAAACGATAATCCGGGTATCGGAACTTGGCTGATTTGAAAACGCCTTCAAATGCGGCGTGATACCTCACGCATTCCGGAGAGTTCAAATAGTTGTATCATTGCGCCGTAAGAATGTGACGGAAGATTTAAATGGAGAGAAGCTCCATGCAAGCTGGGCTTGTCGATTTCCTCTGAAATTTTTGCAGTGGTGAATGCATAGCTGAAGTGCGCTTCAGCTAGAATTGTATTTAGCAAATGGGTGGTTTTTCTACCAGGATTAAAAATAAACGAGTGGCATGGAATATAACAAAACAATATGAAGTATGCAAAACGATAATCCGGGTATCGGAACTTGGCTGATTTGAAAACGCCTTCAAATGGGGCGTGATACCTCACGCATTCCGGAGAGTTCAAATAGTTGTATCATTGCGCCGTAAGAATGTGATGGAAGATTTAAATGGAGATAAGCTCCATGCACGCTGGGCTTGTCGATTTCCTCTGTAATCTTTGCATTGGTGAATGCATAGCTGAAGTGCGCTTCAGCTAGAATTGTATTTAGCAAATAGGTGGTTTTTAAAGAAGGATTGTAATTAAACAAGTGGTTAGAAATGGAATTAAAATAATATGGAATATGCAAAGCGATTATTCCGATAACGGAACTTGGCTGTTTTGAAAACGCCTTCAAATGCGGCGTGATACCTCACGCATTCCGGAGAGTTCAAATAGTTTTATCATTGCGCCGTAAGAATGTGACGGAAGATTTTAATGGAAAAAGTCTTCATGCAGGCTCGCCACATCCCATCTCGAGCCGCGGTACCAGTTTGAAGGTCCAGACCCCAAGCACGGAGAGGGGGGGGGGTCCGAGGGGCATCCCCCGAGAAATTTTAGAATTCATACGACTAATTGGACGCATTTTGAAGCTTCCATAAATAATTTTTTTTATCAATTTCAAAAGCGACGGAGTGGCCCCGTGAAATCAGATCTGCAACATTCAGATTTATCAACGCGGTTTGAAGGGCATTGGAGGGGATAAGAGGGGCCCTACTGCTTCAGAGTGAAAACATTCAATGGTGTGCGCGGGACTCCAGATGAATAAACCGAGTGAGCGACGAGCGTGTCCCAAATGCTACGAGCAACTATAACTGCTCCCAAGTCGCCCACATTGCGTATCGATATACTGAAGGCGAACTGGTCGGAACGAGTGAGAAACAATGTGAGGAAGTATTAAGCCGCTACAGTTATGAATGAACCAAGTAAACGTGGCCAAAATGCTTCGAGCAACTATTATTGCTCCCAAGCCACTCACATTGTCTGTCGAGATATTGAAGGCGAACTGGTTTGATCGAGTGATTAATTCATACTAATGCCACCAATGAAGCACGGCTCACTAATTTGAAATTTGGATCCCTGAGGAGGACTCACAATGGGCCACAATACACGGTCTGAAGTAGAAGAAAAGGTCACTTGTGTTCTCCTCAAAATCTTACTTAGAAAACAATTCACACGACGGGAAGTTTTAAAATCCACTCCTGAACGAGATATTAACGAGTTTTTTTAACACAGATCAGATGGAAGTTCGAATAAACAATATAGAGAAAAATACATCATTTGTTTTTTTTTCGCCATTTAAAAAATGTCAATAAAAAAACACTTACAGCAAAAAAAAGTGAAGTTGATTTACTTATTTTTAGGCGTTTATCTTGTTCGGAAGTTGGTTTTCAGACTTCTCGTTGTGTGATCCGTTTTCCTTATGGAATTTTGAAGAGTAAACAGGTAGCTTTGTGCTTTAATTTATAACTTGTCTAGAGGCCCATTAAAATATTTAGTGATATTTATAAATTGACTATTAAAATAACACAAAACAAGCTCACTTGACAATCTTGTATCCACGCCGACAACTCATCACGCTAATTCACAAAGATGTCACTCGGACGAAGAAGCGCAGAAAGAAAGGGATTTTCCGCGTGGCTAGCTCTCTTCGTTGAAAGTGGATAAAACACGTGTCGTGTTCTTTTATATTTTTCCACAGAGCCTCGGTCACTAGTGTCACAGTTCACACCTCCGGGTGGCTCGGGAAACAATGGGAATAAAAGAGCTGCCACCCACGACTGAGCAGTGAGCATCCAGTATTGCTAATCACTTGTAAGTGAGACACTGCGCCTTCCATCTCACTCGTGCTGTCGCGTCGTTTGCACGAATCAACTGAATCGGTCACTGGAAAAAAAACACATTGGATCTAGAGTCCAGACTCTTGAAAACATTGACCAAAAAAAGGACTCTTGATTCAAGCAGATTTAAGCTTAATTCAGAAGGAAATCCGCTCAAATTAAGAGGCTTGGTTCTTGATTTAAGCTTAAATCTGATTGAATCAAGAGTATTTTTTCTTGTCGATGTTTTTAATAGTCTGGACACTAGATCCAATGTGCTTTTTTTCCAGTGGTTGGTAATCAAACATACCTTGTCCACTCTCTGATGAGGCCGCACAAGTTGTAGTGAGCGTTCTCGGAGACTTTAGGAATCATCGGAGTAAAATGTTCCGGGTTAGAAAAGCTATATTCTGCCGTGCTAAGGAAGAACGCCGTATGTGCCTTCAGACGTTGCTAAGTTTCCTCCGATAAAAACCGAATTTACTGGGAAAATTGTGATAGTTATTTTCTAAAATTTTCACACAATTTTGCACGCAATTAAATCCAAGCAGAAAATTTCAAGGGAAAATATGCATGCATGTTGTCAAAAAGACATGTTTTATCGAGGGAACTTTGGCAACTCTCGAATGTTCATACGGCGTTCTTCCTTAGCATGGCAGTTATGTACATGTGGCAACTTGGCACGACAGTGTTGGGTTATAAAAAGTGGCGATTCAATGTTGTTGTATCCTAACATTGTATTATCGTATGTCATTTCATTTACGCACAAGATAACTGCATCTGCAAGATAAACTGCAGAATTGCGTATCTCGGTTTGCAGCGTTGTAGACTCCCTGTCATACTTTATTTTCTACATAGAAAACTACTGAACGTCATTTTTTGAAAATTTCATTGATTTTACTTCTTTTCATAAAGAATATTATGTGACCATTGCCATGATTAAGCGGTATATTCCAAGTATACTAATCGACGGTGACATTACCAGACCACGAATCTCGGGTCTGTAATGTATTGTTTGTTATTTAAATGTTTTGTTAGTTTCAAGTATAGTTATTATGATTAAGATTAAAATCGCTAGAATTGATTTTTCTGGAATCGAAAGGTACACTTCTTTTCCGACGTTGCAGACTTCTTGACATATACTCAATGTTTTAAATCGAAAACTATTAAACTTCTGTTCTTGCAAATCTTCGTGATTATTCTTAATCTGTGCGAAGAACACTTTGTGAAAACTTTGAAGAATGATCCTAATTTGTTCTCCTTCAACAAAATTAAATGGAAGCGAAGATTTTTAAACACCGTAAACAATATACGTGGTCTAGGTGTTTCGTCGTCGTTATGGGGTATAATTTACATTTCTCTGCTGTCACATACCATTTTCTCGATGCACGATATTCGCTCCGTTACCTTCATTTTTTGTTTGATTTCAGATAAAGCATTCGATATAACGTACATTCGATTGCTTTTCTGGTCGCCGAGGCCGGAAAGTTTTGCAATTTATAAGCGGACCGTTGAAAACGGACCATGGATTCCTTATCAGTATTACAGGTAATCAAATCCTCTCAGCTGCAATTTTTTCTGTAATACTAAAAGCAAGTTAATGGGCATGAGAACCGAAACTTTGAGTGACGATTAAATCGCTGGGCACATCACTCTTAGGCAGAAATTTTAGAGTACAGCTCCCAGTTTTTCAATACAACTAATATAGCTGGAGCGTGGGCCTCAGTTTGTAGCATAGCTTCTAAATTGAAGGAGTTTCTTATGTACTACTTTTTACGCCTCTCACTTCTCAAGATCAGTCTATTAGTACAGCTTATTTTGCCTTCCTCAATTCTTCACACTGTCCACCGATGGAGGCTTTGGGGCATCCTGTGGATTTTTTTTTCCAAAAAATGAATGCCTGTTTAGAAATGCTTTTTACGAATACCGATATCCTTCCTCTACGAATCAATTTTAAGAACTAGTACGTTTTTACCATTTTTCTTTAAAGTTTGCCACGCAATTGAGTCAATTTCGTTCCCAAATTTTTTGTACCTCCAATTTTTTTTTTCTTGATTATTTTATGGATTGCATTTTACAAAAAGGAACCACTAGCATCGCAATGATGCTAAGATTGTGCAACTTCATCTTTTGCAATAAAATTGCGGAAATCTTGAAAAACTATGAAATTTAGATGGTAATTTTTGTCTTAAATTTACAGTTTTTAACGAGTAAAATAGAAACTATTGATGGATAATCGGGTTTTTCCTCCAAGACAAAAGAAGTTGCACAATCTTAGCAACACTGCAATGCTAGTGGTTCCTTTTTGCAAAATGCAATCCATATATTTAGTATCTAAAATCAATTTTTAAAAGCCTATTTTAAACACACGATTTTTCATTTCTAATCAGTGGGTCCTGCCGAGACACGTACGGACTACCCGATCAAAATTTCGCATACGCAAACGATACGAAAGCTCAAACAAGAGCATTCTGCACGTCAGAATACTCGGATATCTCACCGCTGATCGGCGGTAATAACGTATTCAGTACGTTAGAAGGAAGACCTGACAATATTCATTTCGAAACCAGCCCTCCTCTACAGGTAAGGCATATTAATTGATTTTTCTCATTACCTATTAACTATACAGAAACCATATCGGCGGATCCAGAAAATTGGCAACATTGTATTTTCTCCATTTGAACCTATGGAAATGAATCGATTCTTGGAGGGGCCAGGTGCTCCGACTAGAATCGATTATTTAGCGTAGGTTTAAATGAAGGGAATCCGGTGTTGCCAAACTGCTGGATCCGCCTCAGACAGAAACCTACATTTACTACCAAAGACTCTTCAATTCCATTTGTTAAAAATACAATTATTGAGGTTGATTTTTAAGCTTGGTATGTTGAAAACATGACCATGATTTTTCCTAGACAAGGAATAAAAAGAGTCCAGGCTTAATAGTCAGATGGAATAGTAATTTGTAATTACTTGTGGCGGGATAGAAATTTATTGGAATCCAGCCACAATGAGATGCGGTCCAACCACAGCTCGAATTGAGGGTTCAAACCCGATTAATTGAAAACGGTCATTTTATCCACGGAATCGAGGCTGGACCCCAAAAAACAGAGTCCATGCAGTTCCAACTTGCCACATCGTATTTTTTTCCTCGATAAATACTTTTTCCTCGAGAAATTTCAACGAAAGCCGTAATTTTTTAATTTTTCCCATATTTATTGTAAATACAAATTGCATTTTAAGCACTTACATGTACACTTACATGCATACACTTACGAATATACACTTTCAAGTAACAAACCCTTGCGAAATCGATTGATCATCCTTGGTTTATATTGATCAGGAACAAAATCAATGACAAGTTGCTTTTACATCATTTTGAGGTTTGTTAATACAGTGTTAAAGGCTTCCTCAATCATAATGCAAACCAAATCAGTTTCTTTTTGGGGAGAAGGACTTTTAAGGAGTGTCCATAAACACTGCCTTCCTGCAACCAGACGTCGTTAATACAAATTTGCAAGATCAGCGTCACTTTTGCATTGTAGAAATATTTCTGTCGTAGGAATGGGTGACAGCAACTGATATCCTCATTACTTTGAATAGATTGAATACGTTCGGAGATGAAGTGTTCGGGGATCCAGAGGTCCTGAAATCCTACTTCTATGCCATCGCTGATATCGCCGTCGGTGCTAGGTGAGTTTCATTGAGTGTATTATTTCGACGTAATTCTGCCATACGGAACTATGTGCATTATGACGTGAGTCCTAATATGCATGTATTCTTAAGGGTCTCAGGGCTCATTTCTTAATGCACATGGTTCCGTTTGGCAGAAATACATCTATTTATGATGTCTCAGTATAGAATTAGTCTGTATAGATATTCATTTATGTTTACGATGCATAAACGGAATTGATTTGGAGCACACCCTACTTTGCAAATGAGCATTATACAAGTCGGTCAAAGTGACTTATTAGTTTTGCGTTGTTTAAAAGGACAGGCTATACTTAGGAGAAAAGAGACAAGTTTTTGGAAGGATCACGGGGCCTCTAAACCAAAATTTATCTTAATGGAAAATAAACTAATAAATATCCTGTTGTTTATTAAAATGGTTATATTGAGCACAAAAATGTTCTGCCTAAGCAACGTGAAACTTAGCGAGGCATTGCTATCCGGAATAAGGCCGTCATGCATTTTTTATTGCATTGCAATTATTATTCGTAGTATGCATTTTTAATTTCACTGATTCTCATGAAGGTAGAAACCTGTGAATGCCTTCTTCCAGTGTTGTAACGCTTACAACAGTCTCATGAAAGTACAAAAATAAACATGGGCGCATTTTCTTCTGCTGGTGCAAAATTGTGCAAAAACTTGATATGAACTTGATGTTTGAAGAAGAGACCGACGCACGGTGCCACGAAGCGCCTTCCATTTTACTGGATGCAAATTTCGTATCATCCCGCAGCATCCTTCGTAAACCACCATTAAGGCGCGGCGTTAGGGAATTACTTGTCCTCTCTCGCTTCCATTGTAAATAAGGTTCTCGCTTTTGATTCCACTAAACGCAAAGTTCATTCCTCCAGTTTACTGAAAGTGAAACGACGTCACAGCGTTGAATAATTGTCTGTCTTCTCCTCCTTGCATCTGAGAGTATAAATTTTCAAATGCAAATCGTGTAAAATTATCAAGGATAATAAGTGCCCATGTAAAATTTACAGCCTTTTATCTAAACTCTGTCAAGATGTATAAGAACGCCACTCCGAAGTATTCCAATAACCAGCAAGACATTCATCATAACATACCAACGCGCAAGGCGCCATTTTACACCTAGATCGACGGGGTGTACGAAAAGATGCATTCAGTCAAATGGAAGGCGTCTTATGGTGAAGTGATCTTACATCCGCTGGATTGCCTTAATATGGGTGCTAAATTATGAGACATTTCTTACCGGTTTTGAACACCATCCCTATATGCAGCAATGAAACGCTTCTAATACATCTTATCAACACATTTTTAAAACATTTCTAAAATGTATGTCTCGAAAACATGGAAAAAAGTTCCTCTCATTGATAAATGTTTCTTTTAAATGTGTCAGAAATGATTCAAGGTGATGATCTTGTTTAGATACTTACAATGGAGATGTTGCATGTGAGAGGGATTTGCAATTTGACAATTGATTCTTACGTAAAAGTTCGCGAGAAACACGATGGTGCCACTGGTTTTCTCTGAAATCAACTCCCAAGCTCAAAAAAAGCTCTCAAGTTGAGGCCAAAATGGAGGAGATATCCCACGCTATGCTGAGAGTCCACCTGAGTCCACCTTGAGAGTTGATTTCAGAGAAAACCAGTGGCATCATCGTGTTTCTCGCGAACTTTTACATAAGAATTAACAGTCAAATCGCAAATTCCCCACACATGCAACATCTCCATTAGTGAAATGATTTAGAAATATTCCCAAATGTATGTCACAAATTGTGCTATCAAGGTAGAGTTGACGGTCCGGTCCCAATTCTTTGGAGCTGGCCATTTCATACAATAAATTGTTCCTGGACTTTGAGCACTGGCGTTTTCTAGTGTGTATATAAACAAACACCTAGTTTTCAAACTTATTCGCCTCTCGCTTAGGGAAAAAGTTTGGTCATATGAACCGTTAATATGGTGCTCTATATCGGCCGGTATAGCTGCTCATACTCCAGTTTCGAGGAATCATATGCTCAGACCATGCAAGTGAGCTTTCAGAGTATACTGAACCACAGAAAAAACTTGGTTGCTTAAACCAAGGATGCAGTTCCTGGAACCGAGGGGACGGTGTCATAAACTAATAGTGCATCCACTGCGCGCTGTAGAGCACCGTGCTCACACTGCCGTGATAGCGAATAGAGCAGTAAGTGCAAAAATGAAGTTGAAGTGAGAAAACGGGCTCAGATGCTTCTAACCGGAAAGAAGTCGCCGTTCTTTGTCAAATTGCCACCAATCGTCCGAAAGACTCTTGGAAATCGTTTGCATGATTAAAAATAGACTGAATTTATTTATTTCAAAGGTATTTTTCACTTTCATGCTAAGTTATTGTTAGGGAAGACAGGCGTAAGTGCTATCTTCTGCATACTTTCGTGGTTGCATTTTGGACACAAAACAAACGCTTTTTCAGGTTAGAAATCCGCAGAAGGGGGCGGCGCTTTACTTGGAAGCACTGTTTTCATTGACTCTCTAGAAGAATATTGTCAATTACTGCTGTCTTCCCTGAAACTACGTTATTTTTTGCGCACTTACAGCTTCCTCATATGTCTCGTTTTGATACAATTAAGATGAAATTCGCTGTTTTAACTATTTCAGTGATTTCATCGAAAATAGTTTAGACGAATTTTGAAGGAAACTCGATTTCGAAAATTTGACACTAACTGCTCTCTTCGCTATCACGGCAGCGGTGACTTACACCAATAGTGCGGCCACTGCGCAATGTAGAGCACCGTGCTCTCAGTCCATCTGACCGAACTTTTCTTCGTATCGTGCTCTTTTTGGTAGCGCAGTATTGTTAAGTGCGATTTCTGTGTCCTCTCCTAGTGTACCTAACTTTCTGGATGTTGCGTGTGGACTTTTTTAGGTGCAAGTGCAACGGTCACGCGAGTGAGTGTGTGGCGACAACTGCGTACGACGGGACGGTGCGGCGAACGTGTCAGTGTCAGCACAACACGGCCGGCCCGGACTGCAACGAATGCTTGCCCTTCTACAACGACGCCCCTTGGGCCAGAGCCACGTCCTTCAGTGCCCACGAATGCAAAGGTATGTTCACCAACTCCCTTGTATGTCACTGTCCACGGGAAAGGGGCTTGAGCCAACGGGGGCAAAGATTTTTTGTTCGCGTGATTTTTTTCAAGTTGCATCAACAGCTGGGAAGCTCTTGCCCTGTGATGGGCCTTTGGAAGCACAAACAGCAACTAACATGGAAAAAAACTCGGAGGTTGAGTTTTCGGCAATATATACTCTACAGTGTTCTGAAGAATATGCTGTGATCCATTTTGTTCATTTTTGTGACTATTGTGAGCGGAAAGTCGTATCACTATCAGAAATTTCCGGGCTGTGAACATGAACATGCCTCATTAGAACACTCATATTATGTACCTGCTACCATACGCGACAAAAAAAAAAGGTTTTAAGAGCTTGTCAATTTTCTAATCGATTCGATTAATCTTCATCAATTGATCCAAATTTTCATCAAGGTCCAGTCACACGATCTAATTGAGCCATCAAATTGGGCCTCCCATTGGTCGCATCCTCACCTCAGGTCTTTTTCCACCTATCAGAGCTTCAGTTTTATGGCTCAAGATATCGTATAACTGAACCTTCAGCTCGTGCGCACTGCAACCGAAAATTCATCAATCAACTTCAAATTTTCGTCAAATCTGCTGGATCCTCAGCAAACTCACTCAAATGTTCGTCGAATAGGCAAGAGTTCTTGGTAATTTCGTTATGCAACTGAGAACATCCGTCCAAAACTAATATGCTAGAAGTACACGAAATCGCGATCGTCGTATTTCTTACCCTTCGCGTGGCCGCGAAAACCGGCAACCGTGATGGGGTATCTTGGGCAAACATTGACCAGAGGCGAAGGCACAACGCAACACCGACCGTTACGGTTTGATTTCTACCGGGAAGGTGAGAGGTGTTTGATGGGTTCATTTGGGGATGCTTGGCGACCGAATTCCACAACCTGGCGCAGGATTTTCCTCTTTGATTTGGACTGCTTACATCAAAAGGAACTGTGTCCATTCTGGCATGAGCCCCGAAATCCATTCGATTACATGCATGGCAAGGACCATGTCAATATGGATATAGTTCCTCTTGGCTGCGTTAGTTGAAAGGGATCCGGCGCGCGGCGGTGCATTCCTCCTGAGCGGCCGCGAGCAGTTGTTTTACACCTCGAGTTGATGGGGCGGAATTCTTTTTGCCAGCATTTCACGGAAGGCGCTCTCGCCATCCTAAATCGCCTCTTCGGTATCGATGGCGACGGCAAATCTCTTTATACCGATGACAGGACGCACTGGAAAAAAAAGACATTGGATCTAGAGTCCAGGCTCTTAAAAACATCGACAAGAAAAATACTCTTGATTCAATCAGATTTAAGCTAAAATCAAGAACCAAGCCTCTTAATTTGAGTGGATTTTCTTTTGATTTACGCTTAAATCTGATTGAATCAAGAGTCCTTTTTCTTGTCAATGTTTTCAAGAGTCTTGACTCTAGATCCAATGTGTTTTTTTGCCAGTAAGAGTAAAAGAGGGGAAAAAAGTTGTTCACGATATTGCGGTTTGAGACGTCGTGGTTTTCTTGCTTTCCTAAATTTTCTTCGGGGACAGACATTCAATTTTCGCACGAAATCGCGTATGCCTGAAGGTGGATCTGCAGCATTGTTGAGAATGGTTCGACAATTAATCAATAATCGACAATTTCTAATTGTGTTTCAAAAAAAAAGAAAGAAAGCCACATCAACGCCGTGCTGCGATGCGTCCCGTACTGTACAAAATATTTGCGACCAAGAAAACCTTTAAAAAAACTTCAAAAATACGTGCCAAGTGAATATCGCGAATCGTTTTCTCTTTCAATTTTCAGTCTTTAAGCGGGTCGAACTCTCAGGGTTATTCCAACATGTTTTTCAAACAAATCTTGTGCAGAAATACCTCAAATCCTCAATGCACAATGTGGTGTAAATATCGGAGATCCTTATAAGACAGTTCTAGAAAATCAGAAATGATCGGTTAGTCAATCAACGATTGGGTCTTCCCAGAAAAAATTGACTACCTTAAAATAATCGCTGATATTTTGTGGGTCAGTTTTTACGATAATGCGACTTGCCAATTTTTTCTGGTACCAACGAAGCCGATATCACTGGAAAAACTATTCGGGCACTTGAAAGATCTCCTCTTGAATCAATATTAAAATCGTTTGAATCGATCAGATTTTAAAACAAAAGAAAAGGAGTCCCTGGTCTCGTAGATAATCTAGATTATATCTAATATTATTTACATTGATTACTTTGTTTCCTAAAAGCACTGTTACTTTAATTCATGCATGTGTCGCAGGCAATTAGCAATCGCCGGCAATTTGCTAGTTGTTCACACGTTGTTTCAATAAATCGCAATAATGCGCATCGGCATAATGCAATTTTTAAGGGTTATGGTCTTTAAAAGTATGAGCTCGGCTTGAAGCGCCTTCATTTTTTGTGATACTCTACGCTTTGTCACGATGTTAGTTTAGTTGCCTGTCCGATCTCAACCCAACTAATGTCACGGAGTTCATTGCATGCTCTTCTAAGTCTGCATATTTCTACCATGTTTTTAAGGATAGAAAAGTGTCTACTCACATTATAGGCAACATACTCAGCACTCTAATCGTGTTCTTTTATTTTTGAATTTCTTGATTTTCTATATTTATTTACCACTGGCTTGAAAATTGCCGGCGATTTCCGATTGCCTGCGACACATGTAAATAGATCAAGACATATGATTCTTGGAGTAGGTATAATATTTTGTAAATTCAGTCTCTCAAAAAAAAATAAATAAATAAATAAATAAAACATGAGCAATATCTGTCAGCATGAGTCTATTTCTCTCTTAATTTAGGGGAACTTTCTCCTGATGGCAAATTCAAGAGTATTTCTGCTCGAATCAAGTCCACTTTTTCAATGACGATTCCTCGCGAATAGATCGAAACGGGAATATGAAGGAAAACCTTGATACTGGAAGTATGCTGGCATGAATTTCACTTTTCCAGAGCGGGAGTGGAGTGAATTTTATTTCACGATGAAGAGCGCGAAGAATTTTTCGATTCCATTCTTTCGCCCGGATTCCTCTTGGCACAATAACTCGTGACGACGACGCCCGTTGCCGGTCGTTTATTTTGCCGTGTCAAGGAAGAACGCCATATCAACGTTCGGACATTGCCAATTTTACCTTGATAATACATTTATTTTAAGAACATTCATATTTAAAAAAAAAACCTCAAAATATGGCCCGACCTGTACATAACAAGATAGTAGAAAAGCACTGGGTCTACACTATTCTTGTTTTCCCTGCAGAATAATGTAGGCCGAACACTATTCCTCCATCCTATTTTTTTTAGCGCAGTAATGAACATTTTAATCCTAAATTTCTAGATAAAAATGTTTTTTTTTTTCTGGTTTTTCTTTGGTCCTTCTTTCACCATTTATTAATTTTATCTGGATACAATTACTGAAGGTGAAACACCGAACAAAATTATCTCACAAGAGATGCATGACTAAATAAATAGACTTCCATTGTGAAAATTTGCACGAAAACGACGTTGGGCACATCAAAAACGTTTGAAAGCCACTCCATGAGCGCAATCTGCGTAGCTCCTATCTTTTTCAAACTTACCGCGTTCGCGGGAAATCCTTCTTAGTGGCTGAATGTCAGGTTTTGCCCAGAGGGAGACTCGGATTAACCTTATCTACATAAACGAACAATTTGTTAAAACTTTCCTCACGTAGGATTGCAATCGATTCAAAGCTCTTGTACTTGCATAACGAAGAGAAAAGAGAGGCTTGAAAACGATTGAAATCGTACACTAAAAAAAATTGCGAAATTGTTTGTTCATTCAGATTATGCATCATTACTTCCTAAGATATTTAAAATACCCAATAGCCCGTGACGAGATGTACATTTAAATGAGATTTTTCGGGTTTCGGCTACTCATAATGCGAAAACAAAAGTTGAGCTATTCGCCGACTTTACAAATTTATGGAATGATTGCGACTCAGGCCATGCTTCAATAAAAAAAAACAAAGGTAAACTAGATAAAGGTAAACTTGTGAATCTATTAACATCCTCTTGCACATTTATTAAAGCATGACTTTTTTTTGTTTTTTTCTTGTTTTTTATTAAAGCATGACTTGAGTCGCAATCATTGCATATAATTGTGAAGTCGGCTAAAAGCTCAACTTTTGTTCTCCCATTCAAATAAATGTATACCTCTTCGGAGTGTATTCCAGACTTTTCTTATGTACCCAGCGTGATTTTCGTGTGATTTTACCCTTGGGAAGTCTACTGCCGTGCTAAGGAAAAACGTCGTATGAGCCTTCAGGCGTTGCCAAATTTTCTCTGAAAAATCAACAGTTTTCAGGAAAATTTTTGAATATTTTCCTGCCAATATCTCAGATAATTTTGTTTGTAATTTGATCTAAAGTGTCTGAAAATTTCAAAACAAAATATTCACAATTTTCCTCCAAAATAAACATTTTATCGGAGGGAATTTGGCAACTCTCGAATGTTCATACGGCGTTCTTCCTTAGCACAGCAGTCTAATCACATGACTGTGTCTCTCACGCGCTTTCAGACCTATTGGAAGCACAATATTCACAAGTCTTGAGTCTCCTAGAAAATTCGTTTTTTATTCGTTTAAATTTGGCAACATCCAAAAGCTCATACGGCGTTTTTCTTGAGCATGACAGTATTGTCCAGCACCCAGCGTTGCCTTTTTCGACCCGGCGTCGGGATGCCTCGTTCATCTTAGCCAAGTGGAAATAATTTTTCATGCTCCTCCAGCGGCTCTTATTTCCGATTCGCATCTGCCCTATGATTCTGCGCCGGTCCCCGGTGCCCGACGTAATTAATGTTTCGGTTTACGAGAGATGCCTCACGCCGGCCGGCCTCGTGTGGTCATCCATGATCATGTTGCCAAATTGACGACATTAATAATTATTACAGTTTTGCTCAAAGCGTACGCACCGCTACCGTTTTTTGCAGGTTGCCGGCAATTTGAACATTTGG